TATATATATATATATATATATATATATATATATATATATATATATATGGTGGGGGGGGTTTCTGTTGTAATATGTAGTCATTTTGAATTAATATCCATATAATGAGACTCCTTATTACAAAACCAACTACTGCCTTTGGTGCAGCATATTTGAAAGGACTAAATGAAATTGGAATTGAAATTCAATTGTTTCTTGATTATTGGAAGGAATAAGATGAATATTTGTCTCTGTAAAACAAGTGAAAGACAGTGCTATGATTCTGGGAGGCTCTAAGCAGATTACTTTTATAAGGTTATGATTTTCTCTGTCACTGCAGAAGTCAGCAAGACAAAATAATGATGGCACTCCTTCCAAAGGTGAAACAAAGGAAATAAAACATCCATCTTTGTAACTTCAGGGTTTGTTTTCTATATAAAAAGCATGAGTTACCTCTACGAATGTTTCCTTTGCCTTTCCCTCCCCCAACTCCCAGGTTAATGTTTTAACTTTTTTTTTTCTTTATTCCCACAGTGATTTGAGGAGAGATTTCTGGATGGAATTTACATTTACCTTCCTTGACAATCTGGTTATCAACAGTGAATAGCTGTGTCACTGGGTCAAAACCTTAAAGCATTTTCAATTTTTAAATGGTGATTCTCATATTTTTTCATCTTTCTTTCCTCTTAGACTGTGTCAGTCTCTGTGTCTGTGCTAACATTGAGCTGCATAGCCTTGGATCGATGGTATGCCATTTGTCACCCTCTGATGTTTAAGAGCACTGCCAAGAGGGCAAGGAACAGCATTGTAATTATCTGGATCGTATCATGCATCATTATGATTCCTCAGGCCATTGTCATGGAATGCAGCAACGTGCTCCCAGATTTAGCCAATAAAACCACTCTGTTTACAGTATGTGATGAACACTGGGGTGGTAAGTATGTTATTACCCACAAGCTGGAGGTACTGGCAGACCAACTGCAAACCAAGTCTGACTCTTTTTTCTTGGCATTTCCCTAATTCTGAACCTTGTAAAAGTTCAGTATCTTTAAATAAATTTCATTTTTTGTTACCCCTAGACATTCCAGGGACACATATCTTAGTTTATATGTTTTTAGCACATTTAAATAAAAGATCAAGCTAATCCACAGTCCAGTCTTGATAATCAGAAGGCGACACAAGAGCAAGAGTCCTTGGAACCAGATGATCTGGGTTTGAATCTAGGCTGTCTTGATTATTACCTATATAACACTGACCAAGTCATCTCTAAATTCCCTTCTAGAGTGCTAAGCCTAGAGTCAGGAAGACTCATCTTCCTGAGTTCAAATCTGGCCTCAGACACTTACTAGCTATGTAAACCTAGGTAAGTCACTTAATCCTGATTGCCTCAGTTTCCCCATGGAAATGGCAAAACACTCCAATGTCTTTGCTAAAAAATTAAAAAAAAAACTATTAGGTCACAAAGAGTCAAATGTGACTGAAATGACTGAACAACAACAAATCTCATTACATTTTGATTTGGTTTGGTGTACCGTCCGCGCCGACCTTGTGTCGGCCGCGCCGGCCCTCTCCTCCTATAAGGAGCAGGCTACCAGAGTCATACTCACTTCCGAGTCTTTGGTCCTCAGCCGGATAAACACACAGAGACAAGCCATCGGGAGGCGCCAACACCAGAGCTTTATTCAGAGGCCATCACAGCAAGCCATCATAGCAAGCCCAAGCAGCAAGGCCAGAGCAACAGAGCAGGAGCCAGGAGAGAGAGCACGTGATCTGACCACGCTTGTTCCTAAATACCTACCTAGCCCCTCCTCCCCAGCCCGCTTACTAGCCAATGATTGTAGGGTCAGATACCGGAAGGGGCTGTCTGAGTTTAGCACACCAAGGGGGAGGGAGTGACGTAGGAGGCTAGGACCGGATACAGGGGGGAGGCATCTGGGATTAGCGCATAGACAGAGTACGTGACCTAGGAAGTCAGACTCAGACACTGGGAGGAGGGGTCTGGGTCAGTGCTGCACAAAGGGACCCAGGAAGTCAGGAAGGTCACAAGAGGCATCTGGGGATGATGTTGCATATAGGGAGGGGACTAAGCAAAGGAAACTCAGTCCTCTGCCGTCCCACTCCCACGTGGCACTGCCCCTTGCCTCAGGAGCTCAAGCTCCGGCTACTTCCTTGCACCCAGCTTATCTCACAAAGCACTGCCCATTGCCTCAGGGCTTCTCCGTATCCAGCCCATCCCAGTTCACCACGACTCTGCCTACCACAGCCCCTGCCTCGACTTCCAAAATACCCAGATCTTACCCTACACTTGCCACAGCGCCCCACCTGGTAGCTGCCAACATCAGACAGTCCCTCACAGTTTGGACCTCTTTTGGCAATGTTGTGTATAACATGAAAACCAAATGCAACATCTTTGACATTTCTGGACTAGTTTCTCCTTGAAAATGTGTCTTTGTATTTATATCCCCGGCACTTAACACAATGCCTGAAATACAGAGGGTGTTTAATAAATATTTCTTGATTGATTAGTATGTTGATGCTCTTCAAGATCCAATATTCTTATTAAATCTTTGAAATAGTAGATCAAAGTTATTTATAGCCTTATAACATTTAAGATAGGCAAATCAACAAGCATTTATTAAACACTATGTATCAGGTAATGTGCTGAATACTGAGAACGCTAAAATAAGCAGAAAAAAAAAACATCCTTTCCTTTCCTTCTAGAAGTTGACATTTCAATGGGGCAAGATAACACATACAAGGGAGCTGAAAGGAGAGATGAGGGAGGAGATAAGACATAACTGGACTGGGTTCTTTCCCTAAAATGGAAGTTCTAGGAGGAGCTAATGGAGGAAGAAAGAGAGAGAGAGAAAGAGGGAGAGAGAGAAAGAGAGAGAGAGAGAGAGAGAGAGAGAGAGAGAGAGAGAGAGATCCTAGGAGAGAAGAGTACTCCCAGTGCAAGAAGAAGTTCCAAGAGTGGCGTGAACCTTCAGAGGAAAGTTTTCATTGTATATTGTCATCTCCCCAGCTTCCTCAAATAGTGATTTGATCCTCCACTTGCACATTAAACACAAAGTGGGAAGTTGGAGAATTCTGTAGTCTGAACACAGGTTGGCTGTAAGGTACCTTTTTTCAAGCTCAGACACACACATATAATATATATTATATGTATATACACATACTCATGAATACACATGTATACATACATATATGTGTGTATGGTGTGTATGTTAAGCACCCTTCAAAAATCTTAAATACTTGTGGTGATGTGCTTTAAAATAGAATTATTCAGTATAGAAATGTTCACATTATAAACACTATTAGTGGACTTAAAATAGGACTAAATTTACAAAATTCACAATTTACCATTGTTTTTTAGGGACACATCTGGTGTACAATCTCTACTTGTATTCTGGGCCAAATCGCTCATCAGTCTTATTTCCCTTGCTAATAAAAATGGGAGTGATGAAACCATGTCTACTAGGTTAGTTGCATTCACTCTTCATGGATATGTCCTTGCTGTTCAAATATAACCAGCAGAATTTCAGAGCTTTTCTTTTCATTTCCTGGAATACTGCACATAGTAGGCACTTAATAAATGTTTGGCATATATATGACTATATGCTTCATTTGGAATGCGTTCCCATCCTCAGAGACATTAGCATTCTTCTTGTAAAGACCCATGCTAATACTTCCAGGAGGGTTCTGTACTGGCATAAACCCTGGGCCTGATGCCAGCAACAGATTGTGTGCATTAGACAATAAGAAGGAGAGTGTTAGTTACCACAACATTAGAGAGCATGATCAGGGCACATTAGTGACAGGCCAATGAAGAGAGCACTGGTTTTCAGCACAGACTACAAACGTGCTTTCCATTCTCTCTTCCTCTTTTAAAAAAAGGTACATTTTATTGCCATACTTTCATTAGGAAAGAACTTGGCTTCTTATGTCTAATTACTGCAATGGGTTATTTTAGAAAGATGTCATGCATTTATTAGAAAGACATTTTGTTATGGTAATACCCAAAAGTTTTGGCCAAAGTGGGAAAACATAGTAAGTGGTACCTGTCAAGTGTTACTCTTGGATATGGTAATATTTAACAGGTGTATCAATTATTTGGACCTAGGAATTGAGAACCAACTCTTTAAATTTAGAGATAACAATACATTGAGCAGAACTAATTGCACCTCAATGTCAGGAATAAATTACAAATCACTGACAATGTAGGGGAATAGTTCCACTAAAATGAAATTTAAAAGGTATTGAGGTAAAGTAGGATACCTTTAAAAGAGCTAGGCTGCTAGGGAGACAGATATTACGCAATCTTTTTTCAACCAATTAGTTAAAATTGATTAGTGCTAGATGTACTGGGCAACTAGGATCCGGGTACAAAGAATAAAACAACCCCTAAACAGAATGTGCTTGTCTAGGGTAAAGAGGAAGCACTGAACAATGTTGGGGAAATATTACTGGTCTTGTGGTGGGAGGAGAGGACCTCCTGATTTCACATGCCAGCTTGTCCACTTACCAGCCATGTGACCCTGGGTAAATATTTCAATCTCTCTGAGCTTCAGTTGAAAAAAGAAGATGATAATTTATAGACTCTACCCAACATGGTGTAGTGAAGAAAGTATTTTGTAAAGAGACACATAGGTGTGAATCAGCAGTATTAAACCGATTCACTCTAAAATAAAATGTTCCTAAAAGTTCTTCTTGTTCCTAACATTATAATTATTGATTATTATCTATAGGTTGTTAGCCTGCACACACACACACACACACACATACATCTGTCTTAAATATAGTGACCAAAACAAAATGAATAGAAAGTGCCAAGAAAAATAAGATTATTTCTCTTCAAGTCATATTCATTGTGTTACTATGTTCCAATATAATTGAAATTACTACCTGACACTTATTTCAAACATTCTCCCTGCCTTTACCCTTCTTCTTTACTTTAGGTCTCCTGTGAAGCATGTAACCCCATCATGGGTCCATGTAACTTAGGTCTCATCTTTAAAGTAAGATCTGTAACCTTGGCATAAACCTACAGAGAAAGAGAAGGCTACACCTTCTAAAATTCTTTTCAGTTCTGTGATTCCACAAAGGTAGAGTCTTGGAAAAGCTTCACTAAGGAGAAGCCAAGAATGAAAGAGTGACTGGTAATGTATAGATACAGAGAATTTGTAGAAGTAGCTTACTAAGAAAGGAAAAAGGAGGACTGACCCATGCTAGAAAATGGACAGGTAAAACAGATATTTTACTCTTGTGTGATGGAAACCGAAGGCTTCAATTGACCAAACCTACAAGTTTTCAATTTTATTCAAAGACAGAGCCTGAATTTTCATAATGTCCAAGGGCTTTAAGCAAATAGGAAATTATCTTGCGATTTCATTAGCATAGGGAGTTTCAAGTAAGGAGGTTCCTCTGCCATGACAAAGAGACAATTTCTCCTCATTGATAGTCTAAAAGAGTTGTTAAGAACAGTAACAGGTTAAATGAGTTGGCCAGGGTCACACTGCTAGCATGTTTGGTGTAAGATCTAGGTCTTCCTGATTCCAAAAAGTTCTGTCTACTATGTTAACGTGTCTCTGTAGGGCTGTGCTTTGCTTAGTTTTTTATCTTAACCAAAATGTTTAGCAAGCAGATAAAAGGGACACCTGTTATTTTACAAATACCAACTGTACTTTCTAAAATATGCTGCTCATTAAATTTCCTTTATGTGAGAGGTTTTTGTTTTTGTTTTGTTTTGTTTTTTTGTAAACTTCAAATGATTCAGATTCCCCCAGAAAAAGTAAAGCGTTTTAACCCCCATTAACACACAGCACAAAGCTAAGGAATCTAGCCAATACCTGTGAGTGTACAGTTTTCAGATTAAGTCTGCAACCACATTATTTTCTAATTATCTTTGACCAGTAGATGCAAATGTATAAACTG